TTTTAGATTTGTGTTAAAGGTCTTTGATAACCTTAACAATTTTTTAGGTTAATCATACAACCATCACTCTTATTCCTAAAACAACTAGTGTAGAATATGTTAGCAATTTTAGACCTATTTCCTATGTAATGTTAACTATAAGATTGTTACCAACTAATAGCCAACAGAATTAGGGATTATCTTCCTACCTTAATTTTTTAAAATTAGACTAGTTTTGTCCCTAAAAGACAAGGGATAGATAATTCTCTTATTCTTTAAGAACTTATTCACTCTTTTCAAATATCAAGAATAAATCAGCCTATATGATTATCAAGTTAGATCTAGAGAAATATTATGATAAAATGAGGCAAAATTTTATTCAAGATACCCTTCTTATGGCTGGCTTGGACCCTCACTATGCAAGCTTATTTTATGAATGTGTCTCATCTTCTAGCATGTACGTGAACTGGAATAATAATCAAACTAAAACTTTTAACTCATCTAGAGGTATTAGATAGTGTGACCCCCTATCTTTTTGTCCTTTGGTAGGAGAGATTAGCTCATCTAATTGAAGATAAAGTCATGAATAATGATTGGATTCCATTCTTATTCAACAATTCTGATCCAAAACTTTCGCATTTATTTTTTGTTGATGATATAGTTTCGATAGCCAAATCTGATATGCATCAAACTAGGATTATTAAAGAAACTCTTACTGCCTTTTGTTCTGCTTTAGGGTTAAAGATTAATTTTAGCAAATCCTCTATATTTTTCTCTAAGAATATTGATCCAGCCCTCTCTCAGGATATTAGCAATTTCCTTGGGATTAATATTTCTCCCTAGGTTGGTAGTTATTTGGGTATTCCTGTTAGCAACCATAAACTAAATAGAAAGGATTTTACCCATATCATTGATAAACTAAAGAAAAAATTAGGGTTGTGGAAAATGAACTCTATTTCCATGACTGGTAAGATTACATTAGCCTAATCTTGCCTCATGAGCATCCTTGCTTATACCATGCAATCCCTGCTCATTCCTGTTTCAGTTTGTGATGAGATTAATAAAATTTATAGAAATTTTATTTGGGGGTCTTAGGGGGGGATGCCATTTGATAGGTTGGAATAAAGTTTGTAAACCCAAGAATGAAAAGGATTTAGGTTTTAGGGACATCAAAATTTTAAATAAGGCCTATCTCTTAAAACTTTGTTTGAGACTAGTTAACTCTCCCAATAATCTCTAGGCACATATTGTTAGGAATAAGTATAAGTTTGATCTTGGAAAAAACCATTGTATAGACAATTTTCATAAGGTTTCACACCTTTGGAAAGACATTATTTCTGTGTGACCTATCTTTTCCTAGGGCCTGGGGTGGGAGGCTAAGGGATGGCTCAACCATCAAATTTTGGACTAAAAAATGGATTCCCCAGCATCAACCCCTTGTTAATTACTCTAAGGTTCATACCCCTAAGGTTGAGTTAGACACCTCTGTGGCCCTTTTCTATACCAATGGATCTTGGCAGTGGGATAGAATTTCTATCTTTCTTCATGCTCAGATCTGTAATGAAATCAGCAAAATTTCCTACCTTCGAGGCCTGATAATCAGGATGTGTTCTTCTAGAATTTGTTCAGTGATGGTAGTTTTTTCCTCAATACTGCTTACTCTCTCTTAATTGAGAATCTTGTTCAATCTAACCCCTACTTTGATAATTTCAAGCTGGTTTGGAAGTGGATGAGTCCTCCTAAAATTACTACGTTGCTTTGGAAAATAAGTCATGGTCACTTGCTTACTAACTAGGAAAAATTTGAGAGAGGCATGGCAGCCTCCCCATACTGCCTTAGGTGTGGAAATGACATTGAGTCAATTATTCATGTTCCCTGTAACACCTTAACTTTAATTTCTAAAATAAATAAATTTTTGCAATAAGTGGGAATAAATAAAAATTTTCATCTCAAATGGTTCCCAATGCATAAGTTTAACAAAACATTTCAAAATAAGGGAGGGTTACAAGCTTGCATCAAAATAAACGCTATAGGACTCTATTAAATACATCAAATTTTCACAAATAGTTTTCTAAGTCCTATAGCAGTTTCATCCCTCCTATTCACTGAGTCTGGTGCTGATCATCTTGGTCACCTGAAAAATAAATGTAAGGGTGAGTACTCTACACTATCACACACAAGCACAGAGACTCACCTTCGCATATCATACATATTCACTACCAAATTCAAATCATGTATCAATTAGCAAATTCATCACTTTCAGCATTTCATACCAATCCACATATAGGTGCACTCATTACACCATCAAACAATCCACACACACACGTGTGCTCTCTACACGTAGCCACGCTCACTGTGACACTGTGATCACAGTTTCACACCATGGATGATCGTTGGTTAGCCCCCGCCTCACGGATACAATGTGTGCGGTCACGAGCCCCTCGATAAAGGTGTTAGTCAGAGGATGAGTCAAGAGGAGAGTATGTGGCCTGTGTGTCACCACCATCCTCTCTTCCCCAAGGCATCTCTACTGCCCCCATCTTCCACACCTCCAGTGTATCACTGAACCATGCATAGCTTCCAACACTTTCATAACCGCATTTAACATGCCATATCCTCAGCCACACACAGTATTCATATTCATACACAGCACATATGCCCACATTCACTCACTTCACATTCCATACACACAACATTTCCATTACACTATACTTTACACAATCTCACTACAATCAATCAATCCCATCCACACACAATTTCCTACCTTCTATCTCGACCACATTGCAATACATAGCAATTTAACGAAATTCAAAGCGTAAATGAGATAGGATAGAGTCTCCCTTACCCCGGATTGAAGACCCACATACGAAATCAACAATGAAGAGGCTCTCCACACGAATTTCATCCTAAATACATGGAAGAATCCCATAAGAATCAAGAGAAACCGAGAAAACAGAGAATGGAGTCGAGAAACCAAAACCCTAACCATGAAACTTACCTCCAAACGCCCTCAAATGTGAATCCAACCTTTAATCCTACTCCCAAACGACTTTGGAGGCAATTTAATCAATGAAATAGGGTTTAGGAGTGAGAGAATCACGAAAGAAGGGAAGGGAAATGTAAAATAACCCATTTTCTCGAACCTTAACCCCTCAAATACCCCTTTGATCGCGACACTCTTACTACAACGACATATTCTCGCTGACGCGAGGTCCCCTCGTTGCAGCAACACCCTCTCTTGCTACAACGAAAATCTTAGAGGAAACTGCACTCTAGTTTCTGCAAAATCTCGTTACAGCGAGACCCTTTCACTACAACGAGACTGTACCCAGAAATGCACCCTCAACTGTTGTTCCCTCGTTACAGCAAGAATGCAACAGTTTCACCCCATTCTCCTAATGTCTTCTCGCTACAGTGAGAATCCTCTCGTTACAGCGAGAACAGCACAATTTCATGCTCTTCTCCTAGGGCCTTCTCGCTACAACGAGAATGCCTCTACAACACACACTTAGCCTATATACTCAAACAACTCCAGCCCAAACACAAGTCAATGATCAACAATCATGAACAAGCACAAGTCCACATCACATTTTAACCACATAATCATACATTCAAATCATTACACAATCAAATGCACATTCAAACATCCATTTATACATTTATATTAATAATTAAATAATATTACAAAATTCAGGGCGTTACATTCTCTGTGACTGTTTCTATGCAAAATAGGTCTGGGAGCGCTTTATCATGCCTGATCAGTGGGTTAAATTCTTTAGTAGCAGTTTACATAATTGGGTTAATAGTAATTTATCTAATCATTGTTATAATAAGTTCCTCAATTAGAATAGACTGTTTGGATTTCTGATCTGTTATCTATGACTTGATAGAAATAATTTCATATTTCAGTAATCCTCTATATTACCTAACTATTTGGTTCATAAGATTTTATGTAATCTAAGCTACTTTAATTGTGTTTTCAGGGACAATAGGAAATGTCGTTCTAGTCTGCTACATCAATAGAATCGAGTTAGGTGGACTCCTCCTAGCCTTAGTAACCTTAAGCTAAATGTTGATGGCTTAGTCCCTTCACATTAAGAGCTGTTGGTTTTGGAGGACTTATTCGGAATGATAAGGGAAAGTTTGTTGCTGGTTTTCATGGATGCTCCAGTTCCTATTCTCCCATAGTTGCTTAGCTTTGAGCTCTCTTTTGGGGCATCAAATTGGTCATACAAAAATAGGTTCAATGTATTTAGATAAAGGAAGACTCCAAGGAGGTTCTATCTCTTATTCTTAATATTTTGTCAAGCTCTCACCCCTGTGCTTTGCTTTTGTATGATATTAAAGTTTTATATAAACTAATCAAATTTGTTAGATTTAATTATATATGTAGAGAAACCAGTCACTATGCAAATTAGTTGGCCAAAATTGATGTTGATAAATGTATTCTCATATTCTATCTTGATAACCCCCTCGTTTTTATATCCATCTGTTAGTTTAGATGTTAGTAGCACTTGATATTTTAGATATAAACTTTAGTTTTATTTGTTTGGGTTTTAACCTCTCTTAATAGAAAAATAAAATAAAATAATATTTTATTTTATATTTTAACATATTATATTTTCATTTAATATTTTGTTATAAAATAATAAAAAGATTATTTTATATTATTATTACTTACACTGTGAATTAAAATAGTTTGATTATATTAGAAAAAAATAGTTCAATTATTATTAATTTATTTTTAGAATTAGAATAATTGTATTCAAGCAAATTTTTTACTAAAAGTCAAGAATTTAATAGAAAGATAAAGAAGCGAAAATATAAAAGAAAATAATGAAGAGAAATAAATTGTAATAAAATATCATTAGAGGTAACGGCTAGTAGGGTAGAATTAGCTATCATAAATAGATTTTCAAAATTTGAACGAGAAAAGGCAACAACGCTCCACTTTATCTGAAATTCCCATTTTCCCTTTCTTTCCTTGTGAGCACGAAGAAGAAGCTTTGACTGCAGCAACAATGGCGGAGAGTGAGATCCAGAAGATAGACCTAGAGACAGAGTTTCTGGCGTCGAAGAGAGAGAGCGGGAACGAGTGGGAAACCTTCAAGGAGAACGTGAGGCCACTGAAGAGAGGCCGAAACGTGAACGTTTTGAACCACGCTCTCAAGTCTCACACCGACAACAACCTCAAGAAATCGCTCCTTCAGCATCGAAGGTTCTCTCTCGCTCGCTCACTTACTCTTCACCCACACACCCTTTCACTGTTCACCTTCGTTTCACTTATTAATTTCCTCCAACAGGAAACTTATTGAAGCCATCGACGAATACCAAGGTGATGACCCTCTTCTCCCGTGGCTACAGTGAGTATCCCTCTTTCCATCCCAATATTCCGTTATTTTTCTAAATTAAGTTCAACCGAATATGCAATTACAACCTTTCGAGTTCTTTTCATTATTCAGTTACTGACACGAGATGGATTATTTTAATGTTATATACAATGTGCTCACTTAAAAATTGCTGATGAGGTAATTTGATTGTTTAGGGCTTATTTGTTTCCTAGTTAAAAAAAATATGCTTTTGAATGCAAAATATACGTCTCTGTAGTTAATTTATGCTTGTATTTCAATTATATTCAGCTATTTAAAATAAATTTTATTAAAATAAATTTTGTTTGAGTTTAAACCAAACGGGCACTAATTACAAACCTTTTATATTTACATATTTTTGTATTTACATGTTGAAGGTGTATCAAGTGGATTCAAGAGGCGTTTCCTCCGGGAGGAGACAGTTCGGGGTTGGTGGTGATTTACGAGCAGTGTGTGCGTGCTTTTTGGCACTCGGAACGCTATAAGGATGATTTGCGCTACCTCAAAGTGTGGCTTGAATATGTGGGTGTTCTTATCACAATCTTGTTGGTTAATGTTCCTTACTTCAATTATTCTAGACTACTTAATAAAATATATGTATTGTTGCAGGCAGATAATTGCTTTGATGCAGACGTTATATATGCTTTTCTGGATGCAAATGGAATAGGAAAAACTCATTCTGATTTCTACATTTCATATGCATTGCTTTTGGAATCTAAGAACAAGTTTAAAGCTGCCAACCAGACATTCGAGCTTGGAATATCCAGGTAGTGACCCTAATTTCTTGGAATCCGTGAACAAATCTTTTCTTGTTTGATATATGTTAGTTCCATATTCTCCTATTGTCTGCTCCAAGTGTTTATTCATCTGATTTTATTTCATACAAATTTGGTTTGGAGTTTGGGCTTCACAAGTTTGTGGGTGTTGTTTGGTGCTGGTGGCATGTTATTTCATGCTTTAAAGATTAAACTTTGTATGCTGTATTCTCCAGTGACTTCTATATGTTTCAAACTTGCAAATGTAACTCCTCAATTGATTGCCCCTTTTGCAGGAATGCTCAACCGGCTGATAAATTGAAGGCTGCTTATAGAAAATTTTTTGCACGCTCAATGACAAGGCCAAAATCTATAGATGTATGTGATGATACTGAGTTACTGTCTTACTGCTACCTCTTCTTCTAAACTGTTGTAATTATAATACGATCTATGAGCTATCTACTATTTTTGTCTAACCCTGCATCAATCTTTCGCTGTTTAGGACTCATTGGAAAAACTGGCACCTGTGCGTAGCTTTGGAACTGTTCTTGCCAAGGGAGAAAATCGTGAGTCTTTTGTGAGTTTTAAAATCGTGAGTCTTTTGTGAGTTTTTGTTTTTGTTTTTTGTTTTATATTACACCATTTGCCTTCTAGTTTATGATTTATGGTATAACATTATGGTGTTTTTGGTCCAAGTAATCGATCGAACCCATTTAGTAGAAAAGGTTTGGTTTGTTGTTTTGTACCTTTTGTCTCAAATCCATTAATTCTGTACATCTTCCCTGTGTTGCAGGTGCTCCTCTGACCTCTTTAAACTGTGATCCTTCTGCCAAGAATGATAGGTAATAGGGTCATTTCTTTGGCTTTATTTAGTTGGAGTTAGCTACCTAGTGTTTCCTTTTGGAATTGCTATATACTTCTTTTTGTGGAATTGCACACTACAGTGTTATCTTGTTAAGAAAATATATAAATTGACGAGATGTATGTATGACATGTTAACTACAAACTCGTGCATTCAGAATGTGTGAAGGGTTTCTCAGTTTTTATGACTATGTTCATTACTTGATGAATGTCCATCGTATTGTTTTCTCATCATAAAGGACTCGGGCAGCTCCACTTTCCATTTATAAAGATTCAGTTGGCACTGGAGATACCAGCCCTCATCATCCAGACCTGTCACACTCTTGGCTCAAACTTGGAGCTCATGCTGACAGAAACAAAGAAAACAACGCAGTTCCTGGAAAATGGAAATCCTACAAGGTGCTAATTTTCGCAGACCTCTATATTACAAAACTTCACTTTCTCCTTCAGGTTTGTGTTCTGCATTCGTTTAATGTCTAACTTTAAGATATTAAATGATTTCAGATTCCACAGCGACCTGGGACTAGAACTGAAGGATCTACTGCAAGTGCTTGCATCCCAGTGTTTGTTGATGAAGAATGTCATGAGTAAGTTGAATCAGAATCACTTTCCATAATTAGTTTGGTCGTTAGATTTACGTGGAGATATTCAGTGGGATGTAGTAACTTGTCTCCTCCACTGCACCAACTGAATTTGCTTAATAATCTAGAATACTGTTAAACCTTTTCACTTTTAAAAAAATACTGTTAAGAATGATTATGTGGGAAGCAAGTGAAATGATGATTTATGTGCTTCTGGTCAACATGGATACAGAGCAGTTTTAATTGCTATATGGTAGTAGCTACCGGTAGGTTCTTTTATATATACTGGTGAATTAACATGTTTGTTTATACAGTTCACAAAGTTTGAAATCAGCCGAGGGTTGCAAGTCCTCAACTTTGAAGATTAGGGAAGACGAAGACAAGGACTTGAAAAGGTAATCCTGATTCACCTGACAATTTCTGGTACCAGTAATTGAGGATTTTCTTGTGACTTGATGAAATTTTGTATTGTTCGCTGCAGGGAAACAGAGCTACTAAGGAAGAACCCATTACGCAACTTTCCTCGAAACAGCCTTCCCAGATAATTCAAACAGCGTCAAAACATGCCTATTGCTGCAGCAGTAGGCCATACTTCCTGTTGTAACTTTACATGTTGGCATTAACAATTTGCGGGTTAGGCTTTTCCCTAGAAAGCTTGATGACCCACATCCAAGTTGGTGTTGGAATTTCAGGTCTGTTTGATTGTTTGAAAATGGGGATGCATGAGTACTGCTTTTGTGACCCAGAATTTTAAGAAACTTGTGATGCTCAGAAGATGTAATAATTACGTCACTTCAATTATTTTCTCATTTAAAACTATTCAATAATGCATTTTCATCCTATAACTGTATCCTAAACTGTAACACAAACGCACTTAGTTATAAGTTTAAATTTACTGAAAATTACAAAAATACAAAATATTCAATTAGAAATAAATAAAGGGCCAATTCACGTAATTTTTATAAATTTCATTCAATTTTAATCAATAATTAATAATTAATTAAAAATAAATAAAAGTGAGACTTAATACTAGTCCCAATTATAAAAGTTATTTTATAATTTAATCACAATTAAGACCACTTCCACTCTAGCTATTACTATGTAATTAAGGCTATTGGAGGGTACAATGTGAGGCCCCTGTTTAGGGTTTAGGTTACAATTGTGGGCTTTTGAAAGAGTGAATCATAAAATAAGTTAATACTACGAAATATTTTATAAGAAGCAAGGGCATTCGTAATATCGTATTTCGACTAATTAAAATAATTTTATAAGAAAAATAAATATTATTTTAAAATATAAAGATATAAATAAACATTTTAAAATAAAAATATCATTTTTAAAAATTAATGCTAACAAAATTAATAATTTTATAGTAACTTCATTAGGAGTGAGAATGAGTAGGTTATGTTGAGTTTGGGTTTAGAAGCTCATAATTGACTAAAACTAAGGATAAAAATATTTTGGCCTGAAATTATCTTTAAGCTTTTATTGGACTGATTAAAGTTTTAAGTAAAAAACTGATTTGATCAAGTAAATTTTGTGGTTTCAGCCTTTTTTTTTTTATTTGAATATTATTTAGGTTCATTTTCAATTTTTTTCAAAAGTAAATTTTGTCAAAGAAAATAAAATAATTTTTTTTTTATGTCTTGGACCCTGAATTGAAAATAGACTTCTTTGCTATAATAAGTTCTAATTGAAAATTCTAACATATATTTCTAGTCATAAAAAAATATTTAAATATTTAATTATATATATATATAAATTATAAATTTTTTATTGTACATATGTACTTCAATTGTATATATAAATTTACAACTCTATATGAATATTAATAGGCAATTTAAAATAAGTTATATGTTTTTAAATAACATGTCCATTGTCTAATAATAAATATTTGATAATTATGAAATTGTTCAAATAAAAAAATAACTTTACAAAATGAATCAAAATAAGTTTGTTTTTTTTTTAATTTTGAGCCAAAATTAAAAAATATAGTTTTGAAGAATCCAAAGATGAATATTGAATTAAGAACTACTTCCTCCAGTCCTTTTTATAAGAAATAAAAGACTAAATCACCAGAATTAAGAAAAGTAATTAAGTATGTTATGTTTTTCATAAATATAAATTTTATTTCAAAAATACCTATGATATTAAATAATATAGTTAGTAATTTGTATATTTAATGATACTAATAAAAGGGTATAAAATAAATTAGCAATTAATGTATCTTGAATTTATCATTTATTTTTTATAATAAGAAACAAGAAAATGTTCCATTTTATTTCTTACAAAAAGGACCGAAGAGAGTAATAATCAAATCTCATAAAAATATACAGAATACTTGCAAATTTACATTTATTTGAAGAATAAATTATAAAGTTCTCTAAAAGACAAATCTGAATTAATTTTTATATCTCTTGTTTTGTGTGAAAGTTACAAGGAAGACAATTTTTGAAATCTCAACCAATTACACAAGGCTATAAACAAAATCATCAAACCAACAACATAAATAGTATTAAAAAAGTAATTATTTTAGCATTCAAACCATCAATTTCATTACATAATTAAACTATCTCCTTAACTATATCATGCATTTTTAACATACTATCAGTTTCATTAACATCATCTATGAGAAGCAATTTTGAAACTTTATATAAAGAAATGAGATTTAAAAAAAAAAAAACCTTGTTTGAACTTCTAGTAATATAAGCTTATTGTCATTATGCAATTTATGCCACATAATAGCCACTCAAAATATCCTTTATTGCAGATATGTATATATGACACATAAAAAAATAATAATTAAAAATATAAAAAAACATGTAATTTTAATTACTATATTTTATAACTCAAAAATAGACAAGTAGGAAGTGTTGATGCCAAAGCCAAAAAGTTGAGTACTCTTATATATATTGTCAAATACAATAATAGCTCATAACTACATACATAAGACAACCAAAATTAAATTTGCATATATCAATACTAATTAAAATAGAAATTAAATTTAAAAAAACTCACAATATGTCATTAGTTAGTATTCCTACTTATCATGATTGTAAATATTTGAAAAATATAGAGTTTTAAACTTATAAATATACAATAAAATTTATAAATACATAATGTCTAATTGCTACATTAAATAAGAAAATTAAATTTAAAATATAACTCAAAAAATTGTATTAGTTAGGTTCTTCGGCCTAATACAATAATAGCCCACAATACATGACAACCAAAATTAAATCTGCATATATCGATAATAACTTAAAATAAAAATTAAATTTAAAAATAACTCACAATATATATCATTGGTTGATATTCCAACATGTTATGTGAGTAAATATCCAAAAAAAAAAATATAGACCTCCAAACTATAAATATATAAAATTTATAAATACATAATGTCTAATTGCATTAAATGAGAAAACTAAATTTAGAAAATAACCTCACAAAAAATGGTATCAGTTAGGTATTTCAACCAATGGTCAAAGACTGAGATAATGAACTTGCAGATTCAGGTCCACCAATATTAGATGACTTGTCTCAAATTTTTTGGTTTCATTGCATGAAAAAAGTAATTAGAAACAAAAAAAAGTTATAAAAATGAAAAAAAAAATAAAAGAAGTAATCACTCGATATAACTCTTTCAAAAATCTCTAAATCTTCACCAACATCAATGTATTTAAATTGATAAACATAAGACTTTAACCAATTTTGAGTACAAACAAGTGCCTCAGTCATTTCAAGGGATAATGAACTTCAAATATATCTAATATTGTACCCCTATTGCTAAATGCACTTTTAGAAGCCATTGTAGAACAGGTGTGACTAACACATTACTTGTCATTGATGATAAGATAAGGAAATGTGGTGAATTATATTTCTACCATAAAAGCAAGTGGAAATTCTCATCCGATCACCACAACCTTTAGCAAGATATCTATCAAGTTTATTCTTTTGGTTAATAGAATCTTTTGTCTTCAAATGTTTAAAAACTTCTATTCTAGCCAAATGTGTTGCAAGTATGTTAGGACTAGATGTTTGACCATGTGAATAGCCTTCCATTGAAACAAAAGAAGACTGTACCACCTTATTTTGCTGCTTATGAGTTATATCATACCAATTATACAATTTACATAGACTCTATTTCACACTATTGACTAATAGATAAGTTTGTATTTTGACATGCTTTACATATATATATATATATATATATATATATATATATGTGTGTGTGTGTGTGTGTGTGTGTGTGTGTGGAAGGATCTTCTTACACTAGTGTAAGTGTAAAAACTCTTACACCCAATCTGAACTTTTCATTTAACTTAAATCTAACGGCTAGTGAAGTAATAAATTATAACCCATTAGATTTAAGTTATACGACTCTTATAGCAGAAGTACAGTAAAAAATCTAGACAAGAAATAAGTATGGGGCCTGTGAATGCTTTCACTATCAATTGTGTACACATCAACTATTAGTATTCATTATCCTCATTTTCCAAATTCCCTTCAGACTCAATACCCCCAGTGTATATCTGAACTATCTATATGGAAACTCAACATAGCATGCTAAAATCATATTGTTTACACCAATCAATATTGTCTTAATACATATGTTATAATCACACTAATCAATATGTTACAAAATATGTGTTATATTCTCACCTATCGATGTATTACAACACATATATTCACATCAATCGATGTTCTTACGACACACATATTAGTTATTTCCTTTCTTCAACTCCTACTTTCTCATATATTCACATCAAATTTCATTTATCACTTTTACTATTAATCAAATTTTCTTCATCTATTTTTCCTCATTCAGTGCATTGAATTATGTTTAAATTACAACATATCTAAACTTAGTCCTCATCACATATACTGAAGAAAAATATTTTAATCATTCTAAATCAATCAATAATACATCATTAACTTTTCATGACAGTCAAGGATCTCATTCAAGCATATATTAATGAAATAAAAAAATATATCATTATATAGTTTGATACAATGTGTTGAAGGTCAAACACCTTTGGACTTAGTTCAATCGTACAATTCATAAGTGTATTATTGGAGATCACATTTCATCATCTAACACATGTATTATTCAAAATCAATAATTTAAAATATTAACAATACATATATACAAATATAATGAGTAGCTTGCCTATGAAAACTTCTTAAAACATTGTTTGTTTATAAATGTTATTATAAAATTCTGTTTTAGGTGATTCTTAAATCAAACCATATATTTTCATGCCAAAATTCCATTTTTAACATTACACTTTCCAGAAAAAAAAAAAAAAAAACTTCAGATCTACTATTTAAGATAGGATATTATAGGTTTTTCAAGTTAAAGCATAAAAATAAAACTTAAGGTTTAGGATCAACTCCCTTTACTTTTAAATGGGTTTTTCACAACAGAGAGATGGAAGTTGATGTCTCCAAGACCAAGTTCTTCTAGAGATCCAAAGGAAAGATACAAGGTTACAATGGAAGATATTGTCCAAAAGAAGAAAATGAAGGAATAGAAGTGAGATTGGAAGATCAATCTCCAAGAAACTTATTTGGAATCAAAAGGAAGAGATATCTAAGCTCGGATTTAAAAGAGATTTAAAGTTCAAAAGTGTTTTTTTTTTCCTGAGAAAGAGAAGTGAGAAAATAAAGCAAGAGATGAAAATGGTTTCTTATTTTGAAATATGTGTTTTTAAAAGGTCAGAATAACTTAACTAATCCTTTTTCTCGAGTATTCTCACTTGAGCGGAAAACTAGACAAAAATTGGTGTTTTTCTGCTGATATTTTCGCTTGAGCAAGAGTATTTTGGCTTAAGTAAAAATATGGCAGAGAACTACCCATTTTTGTTGTGAATTTTCGCTCGAGCGACATATTTCTTACTTGAGCGAGAATATAAATGGGAAAATTTGATCCTTTTTTTCTTGAGTGTGAAATTTTTGCTTGAGCTAAAAGGAATATTATTTTATTCTTTATTTTTTTTTTAAGAAAATCTTTTATTTTGAGAACAAGAAATATAATTGAAAAATTAGGGTGTTACAATAGACATCATTATTTCTTATGTATCTTGACCTTTTTTCATAATGTAAATAAGGGATGACAATAAATTTGTTTATGAAATAGTAGGTATTTTAGAGATTTGTGGTCAAGCAGGTGGAATATGAGCGTGGAAATAGATAATTTATAATCTTAGCAATGTTGCCGTTAATGTTATGGATTAGGTTGTTACCATCATATTGTGTTGTGAAATAACTTGGTTCTTGAGTGCATTTATGTCAACCCTATCCCTCATGTTAAAGATTAATTATTAATCAATCTCTCTCAAATCCAATGCTTGATTAAAGCTTGTTGGCTTCTGATTAGTGACTTTAATGACCTACTTCTTTCTAATAAGGTTAAGAAGAGTGAGTTTTTTTTATCCCAGACCAATAAATTTTTTGCTATAATGCATGAACGCGTGACCTTTTAAACTTAGAATTTCAAAGAGCAAATTTTACTTATGTAGAAAAGGTTAATAACTTTCACAAAATCTTGAAAAGATTAGATTGAGCATTGACAAATGTCACGTGAAGGTATATTTTTCTTAATCCTTTCGTAGAGGTTTAAAATCTCACTCAATGCCTTTTTCATTTTTAGGTATTCTAGATTATTTATAGATATTTTACTTCAATAGTTTGCAGGATTTGGAATAAAGGTAAACATTCTTTATTAGATAGTTTGTTGTACTTAAAGAATGATACACTTTAATTAATGATAAAGTCTTTTGTGAACATTTTTGTTGCAAGAATCATATTATTTCTCGACTACATAGTATCTAAATATAACTATCTCATATGATTTACTTGATTTGATAATAATGATTTTGTTCTCTGTGCTAAATTGAAAATAATTTATTTGGGTCTCCATTTGATTAGGTTAAAATGTTACCATATGATAATTTTAGAATATAAATTTTTAAAAGTGATAAATCTTATTATAAAAAAATTAAAATTAATCTCTTTAAAATATGTTTACATAAGATATTCATTATCATTATTGCATATATTCATAGATCATATTATTTACAAATTTAGCTTAATAACCTCCTTTAACACTTTTATACGAAGATCTTTTCCACTCTCTAGATATGCAACATAATGTTAAAATTTCTAATTTAAAACAATTTATGTGTTCAATAGTTTATTTTTATATTTTTTTCTTTACTAAAAATAAATTTTTTATATAATTTAATTAATAATTTAAATCGGTAAAATTAAAAGTGAACTAACAATTAGGAGCTAGTCACTTTTTAGAAAAATAGTTTAAAAAATAAAATAAAAATATTGAAAATATATTTTTGATTTTTAATTCCATAATTAATATTTTTAAACCGATTTTTTAACTTGTATTATATTATACATAATAAAAATAAATAAATAATTTTTTTGTTGAAAAAATAATGGAAAATGAGGTTTTTATTTTATTTAAAAACATTTTATCTCTTTATTTATTTAAATTGAATAATTTGTTATTCGGGTCAAAATTTATGGAAGGGAAGGTTCATTTAATTTAACGAGGCTTGATCGATCGGGGAAAGGCCATTTTCTTGATTTAGAGAGGCAGAGTGAAGTGGTTGGGTTATTAGGCAGAAATTACTGTAAAACAGAGTGGTTGTGGTCGCGATCCGTGAATTGAATTGTTCCCCCAATCCCATTAGGGTTCGAAAATCAAATCTATTGACAGAATCGATCAGTTTGGATGGCTGAGCACTTGGCATCGATATTCGGGACAGAGAAGGACCGCGTGAACTGCCCCTTCTACTTCAAGATCGGCGCGTGTAGGCACGGCGACCGGTGCTCGCGTCTGCACAACCGTCCAAGCATTTCCCCAACGCTTCTCCTATCGAACATGTACCAACGCCCCGACATGATCACCCCCGGCGTGGACCCACAGGGACAACCCATCGACCCTCGCAAGATCCAACAACACTTCGAGGATTTCTACGAAGACATCTTCACAGAACTCGCCAAGTTCGGCGACATCGAGAGCCTCAACGTCTGCGACAACCTCGCCGACCACATGATCGGCAACGTCTACGTCCAGTTCCGCGAAGAGGACCAAGCTGCCAAGGCTCTCCAAGCGCTCCATGGAAGGTTCTACTCTGGCAGACCCATCATCGCTGATTTCTCTCCCGTCACCGATTTTCGTGAAGCCACGTGTCGTCAGTTTGAGGAGAATAGCTGTAACCGCGGTGGCTATTGTAATTTCATGCACGTTAAGCTCATCGGAAGGGACCTTAGAAGGAGGCTCTTCGGTCGCCACCAGCGAGGGTACCGCGTGAGCCGAAGCCGGAGCCGAAGCCGAAGCGTGAGCCCGAGGCACAAGAGGGAGAGAAGAGAGAGGGATTCTCGCGGAGGAAGGGGAAGTAGGGAGAGAGAGAGGGATTTCAGGGATAGGGATGGTGGTGGAAGGAGGAGACATGGGAGTCCTGTGAGGGAAGGGAGTGAGGAACGGAGAGCGAGGATTGAGCAGTGGAATCGAGAGAGAGAGGAGAGGCATTGATTTGATGTTGTCCATGTGCATGTGCAGTGGCGTCAGCGGTAATAATGTTCATGAACCCTAACGATGTGTTTTGCTTACGGTAATTACTACTACTACTACTACTATTATTATTATTATTATTATTTATCTGATGATCTTTCTCTTTTGTGGTGTTTAAGGAGAATGGGACCTTGTAGGGCTTTTATTGTAGCTTATATGGGTGTTTGCTGAGATTGCAGGATTTAATTAGATTGGGGATGTTTTGTACTGTAATTGGGCTGTTACGACTTTTCCATATGATAAATTGAGCATTAACTACTGAATATGTTAGCTTGTGCTTGTTTCTGCTCCATATTTTTGCTATTGTGAATTATGATGTAGCTACTTCGGTAAGAGGAGCAATTGCGAGGGTGATTAGTACTTAGTACGGAGAAGATGAGAGTCGGAGTTGGAACCTTTTCAAGTTGAAATTCATGCTTATACATGGTGTTGTGTTTTATATTTTCCATTCTTCTTGTTAGATATTTAAATGGTCATGCATGGGCGTTAGTTGTTGAGGTCCTTTCTGGTTCATGATGATCTAGTAGTTGATATCGCGAGGGACAATACTTATGCTTATCTTGATCTGAAATATGGTTTTGGGTCTCTGTGTGCATTATCTAAGGTTGGCTGGTAAATTAAATTCTGTTGATCGGATAAGTAGTTTCGGTAAATTCTGGCCCAATTAGAGCTTTTGTCAGAGGCTTCGATGAATTACTTGTTCTAGTTTGGTCTATTTCTGGGTTTGAGTATGCATTTGTTTATGAAAATTCCAGTTTTCTGGAAAAATAGTTTATATGCAGCCCTAATAGTATTGAGTTGCAGCTCTGCCCACGTTCTCTTGTTTTATTTTGTTGTTGCCTTTGTTATGACAAATACGAAGATAAGATGGAAAATATTTACTGGGGACAAATTAGGTTAAGGCTTGCTGTGTGGGTATGGGACAACAATTTTCATTGGCGTGCTACTTCCCTCTTCAAGGTAGATATATTAAAGTAGGACATTTGGTTTACCGTTAGACATTTGATCATTTGGGAGTGTGGCTGTGTGTGACTGTTGTCAGTTTGCTCTCTTCCTGCTACCCTATTATTGCACATGTCAATTATTCTGTCACATTCTGATATTCTACCGCATATATCCCAGTTAATAAGTGGTAATGGGTATTTTTTTCTACTTCTTTGTTAATGTGACATCTACCTGGGTTGAATATCTTTCCTGGTTGTTTGTTGTTTTAGTTCTCTCTCTCTCTCTGGCCCAAAGCCAAAACATTTTCATTTTCCTGTGATTTTCTGATCTATGATGCTCTGTTCTTCCTCTGCATCTCCCTCTCTTCTCATCAGTTCCTCAGTTTTTGTGTTTTCTGTAAAATTCTTTTTTTCTTCAGATATTTTTACTCTTAAATATCAGTACTGTTTTAAATTTATATAGTATTGAAATATAAATTTGTAAACAATTTGTGCAAAATTTCTAAAGAAGCTGTTCTATACAGCCCTGCTGAGTGTGCTGTTCACTGTTAAGCAACTAGCAGGTGGCAGCCATATTTTGAATATGTTTTGTTAATGAATGCTCTAAAGGACATGCATTAAGACATCTGAAGTTAAAACATTAAATGAAATACTAAAGAATATAATAATTTGGAACTTAAAATCTTTTGATTTAAAATTTGTTTTTGATTCATTAACAAGTGTCTTGGGCACTTTTTAGCTTTTACTGACGTGTTCTTTCTTAATGTCTGTTATTCCCTTCTGTTTAACTGAATGACAAGATAACACACGTATGTTTTTCCCCGTGTAGGCTAGGTGCTAGGGGAATTGGTTGTGCAGCTGGTGTTCTTGAGATGTAGGAATTGCAATTCAAAGATTAACGAAGTTGGGGTTTGAATTGCCTCTTGTAAGACTGCATGCTTTTGTCATTAGTTATTATTTTTATTGAAACGTTTGCATGTGAGCTTGGAATCGTTTTCTTCGCATGCCATTTCAGGCAGGTCCACCAGTGAATTTTATAACGTGTTTTTTTTTCTTGTCTTTTCAGCACTCTAGGTATATAAAAGCATGTTGCGAAGAAATGTTTTTGATGAGTCCAAGTGATAAATACTGTACAAATATGAGACAATTAAGATGGGCAACTTCTGGTTTTTTATCATGGGATTTTTGCCACTTACTATATGGTGTTTGAGCACTCCAGATTCTTAGGCTGACATCATGGCTTAGTCCTTGTATTAATTTATGCTTACCCTACTTGTTTTAGGTATGTTTGGTTGAGGGATTTTTGAGGGATAGGATGTGTTGGACATTTTTACTTTTAAATGAAAACAGTTATATAATACTTATAAAAATAAACAAAAAGATCTTATATAAAGTTTATGTGTCTATTATTTTATTTCTTTTATCAAATCAGAGTATTTATTTATTTAGTTTTGGTCAATAAAGTTTTTATTTGAAATGAGATTGTTACTGTGTAGCTAATCTAGCTCGAGCACACAGGTTTATATATATATGACAGTTCTTCGCCGTGACTTTAGGAAGGATCAAGGATTATCATCGGACAATATGTGAAGCAACAGTTTCGTCGTCTTACCATAGTTGATTTGTTTTCTGTTTTGGAGTGGCGGGGTGGGCGTCATTGACAGTACTTTAGTTATCAAATCCGTATAAGATAATAATCCAAATAAGAAAATAGCTGCTCTTGTTTATGTTGACGTGTTGAAGTGTTTGGGTATACATTATTTTCTTCATTCTCTTTTTTGGTAGTGTGATGTCACTTCGTGTAATATCTCATAATTAAGTATTCGAGTATGTCTGAATAAAAATTAGTTTTTAATTTCAAATTTGTGCACATTGAAATTTCTTTGGCTCAAAATATAGGAGTACCGTTAACCCTTTAGGCGAAACAAGTTTACTCGATATTTATCTGCAACAAAGATGATCTGGAAGGGCCACCATTGGAGTTGGGATCTTGGATTATTGATTCACGATTTCCTTTGCTGCACCAGTAGCCAAAGAAATAAACAAATAAAACAACACTAGTATCCAAGATGCATCCTCTTCCAAAATTCCCGTCTCAAAGTCGTCCCACTCTGATATGTTGAATAATTTACGTTTAGAAATTTTCTAATTTAAACAATTAGGCCCGAAGTAGTTTCCGTACTTGTACCATGCTAAAGTACATCCCCCTATGACCTCTGCCTGTGGCTTGCCCTCCGCACATCTTGCGCCTTCTGCGAACTTTTTACAGAAAACAGCTTAAAAAAATAAAATATACATAAATAGATCTAGTTTCAATATATTTATCTAATTAGACCTATTTATTGTACAGGGGTTCAGAATTTTTATTTTTGGGAAGCCTGCAATTTTTTTTTTCATTTTGAAATTTAATTTTTTGTTTTTATATAATAAAATAATTTTTATGTATTTTTTAAGTTTATATATTTATATATTGTGAAATTTAATAAATGTTTAGTTAATTTTAAATAATAAAACAAGTTTTATTATTTAAATTATATTTATATTTTATTGAATATGTAAATTTGTGTTATAGATTTTTAATATTAATATGATAATATTATTTCAAATAAGTATTTGATTCTAAAAACATAAAATTTGTATATAAGATGAATAAAAATAATAAAAAATACTTTGTTTATATGTTTATTAAAATATATACTTAATTAATTTTTAAAATTATGGTTATAATATTTGGATATAAAATTTGTTATTAATATTCATAAAATGAATAAAGAATATGATATATATATATATATATATATATATATAAAATCATAATTTATTAAATATTTAATAAAAAATAGCACTTAACCCAATATTTTTATATTTTTATATAAATGAATATTTTTATTATGTTAATTTGTGTAAAATAATATTTATATATTTATATTATGTGAAATAATAAAGAATATTAAGTTAATATATTTTATTGAATATGTAAATTTGTGTTATAGATTTTTAATATTAATATGATAATATTATTTCAAATAAGTATTTGATTCTAAAAACATAAAATTTGTATATAAGATGAATAAAAATAATGAAGAATACTTTGTTTATATGTTTATTAAAATATATACTTAATTAATTTTTAAAATTGTGGTTATAATATTTGGATATAAAATTTGTTATTAATATTTATAAAATGAATAAAGAATATGATATATATATATATATATATATATATATATATATATAATCATAATTTATTAAATATTTAATAAAAAATAACACTTAACCCAATATTGACAACAACATTCATCAGTGATTTTCACTATCACTATCTCCGTAATGATGTCTAGTTTCACGAGGGCTACGTCTGTTATGTGCTGAGTTTTGTTGTCGTGGTTGCTGCTGTAGAAATTCAGGATGAACTTGTGGAGGATTATCGAGGTCTTGTTATTGAAATGCAGCTGAGGAACTACCAGGTTCATTAGCAAAATTCGATTGGTAAAGAGACTGCACGTAACTCTGTGCTGAAGATAGAGTTGTAAAATCAACTCCAAATAAGTTTGTAAAAAAATCCTCCGAAGTTATTGCAAACGAATGTCTTCTGTCCATTATGTTTGCATCTGGCGTGATATCTGATGGAGGAATTGATGCAGTCTCATAATACGATGGTGTGAAAGTTGTACCAATGGCAAATGTTGTGGTAGTCCTTAACTGGTGGTGGCTCTTCCTTGAATCTTGTAGTAATAGTGGTAGAGATAGAAAATATATGGAATTGACAATGTACCATTCCATATAATCTCGTATGTGACACAATGGGCCTGATATTGGATGACCCATTAATGTCAGGTCACATTTGTTGTTCCACACATCGATCCATCGAGCATGTCTTGTGATCCAATTTTCATCATGTCTTCCTCTCATGTCAATTGTGTGGAGATCATCCAAATTATTGGGTAGAGGAGAGACTTCTTGTCAGAGCCGAAACTGTAATTTGACTCTATCTGATTGGTTTCATTCAACAATCGCAAAACAAAGGATGGTGGTACATGAAGTCTATATTTGGACATCTATATATGCTTCCATAGGCATTGATATTTGCAACTCTTGATATGGCACCCATAAAAACTACAAATAAATTTAACTTTGTTAATTAAGATAATATATAAAACAAAATAAAATAAGAAAAAAAATTAAAATTTTAGTTATGAAGATTTATCCAATTAGCCTGAATGTGGTCAAACATTGATCTGTATCTCATAACATCATGGTGAGGTTTATTCTGAAAGTTGAAGACTCTACCCCTGCTCCATCTGCACACTAGAGGGTATGTTGGTGGATTACTAGAAATTGACGCAATATATGACATGCGATACCATGTCCAGGACATTAACAGTGATGCACAACCACCCATTGTTTTGCTCCTAACTTCTGTCGCCTTGCACATTTTCTTGTACAACAGCTAAACAAGCAGACCCCCAACTATATCTTCTAATTCTTCTAAGATTAGTTAATAAAGATAAATATATAAGATGAACTTTGTTGTTTGTTTTGTCAGGAATCAAAACACCTCCAATCAAACCCAATATATATGTCGTAACATGGGCTTGAACTTGCTCTTCAGATGGTTCATCTGGTAATGGCAATATGTTGTCTTTCAACCACTTCAGTTTTACCATAGAGCCAATAAGTGTTTCTCCCTTGACTAGCACGATGTCGAGATATGTGTCACACACATCCTCTCAGTCAAACATTGTTGGGCCAATGACTAGTAATCCATCAACTCTTAACCCGAGTTGAAGTGCAACATCCTCCAGGATTATGGTGCACTCCTCAGTTGGAAAATGGAATGTGTGAGTTTCAGGTTTCCACCTCTCGACCAAAGTTGTCACCAGTGCTTGATCCACTTTAAGATGTCTTAACTTTGCAACACCATCAAAATCAAGTTGTTCAAGAATAGGAACAATTACGAGGTTGGGTTCTGGCATTGAATAACAGAAAGATGAGATCATGTTTTCAGTTTCGTGCAATTATTAACAAATTAGTGAGTACCATTATACGTAAAAATTGATTTATATTTTAAGTAAATAATGATGATGTCTCAAACCTACCGTTCTACCAATGAAGGTAGACCTGTGTTTGTTTTGCTTCGACAACAACATTTTTGTGATTGATGAGTGAGTCATTACGTGGGAGTTGAGAAAGCTTGTTCAAATTTTGTGATGCTTTGAATGAGAGGGAATCCAATGGTGTCATAGACAGGTCATCATCACTCGTAAAACGTGGATGGCAGAACATTGCCTTAGTACTTGGGAGTCGAGAAAGCTTGTTTGAATTTTGTGAAGCGTTAAATGAGAGAGAATCCAATGGTGTCATAGACAGGTCACTATCACTCGTAAAACATGGATAGCAGAACATAGTCACCTTATAAGATTGTTCCTTTGTTCCTTTGAAACCCTAAACCTTCTAAGCTTGTTCATTGTTCTTGTGAACTTTCTCATTCTAAGCTTGTTCATCATTCACTTTCTTCAATCTAAAAATGTCTTCAATCTATGTTATTGTTCACTCTGATGGTGTCATTAACCAATATCCTAATAAGGAGTCACGTTCACCTCACTATCAGCCAAATTGGTACATCTCAAGAGGGAGTCACAACAGCAGGATGATGAAAAAGACTCCCTCTGTTACTTTCTCAACAATTGCATTAAAAGTGAAGTTGACTAGTAAGTGTACTAGTTTTGTTGTAGCAAGTTATAAAATTTTAGAATCATGTTTGAGTCCCAAACATCGTCCTAAGGGAATAGTTTTCTCAAATATCACTTCACAATTCAACAATTAGTTGAGTCTCATGTAATTCAATTGGAGTTTATAATATTTAAAAGCAAATCAACAAGTACAAAGTTCAGAAAACGTAACAGAACAAAAGACTACGAATTTGTGTATTAAAACAAATGTATGAAACATAGTTAGGGGTTTATTTTACCAAAACTTCAATGTTAATTCAATCAAGTTCTGATCTTTCAAGCATTTGGATTGAATGACAATCAGTTTCACGATGTATTAATCAAAGGTTAATTCCTTAACTCAATGATTCTAACATTTAATTCAATCATCCTATTTCCTTAGATCTGGTTCAATTAAATGTTGCATTAGAATTAGAAACCAGAAGATTGCAAGATTAAGATGACTTATCCCTAAGAAATCAATAATCTTGGTAGTTAATTCAAATCTGAGAAACAATTTCAACTTCCATTGATAAAAGCTTCTGTGTTTAGTAAATCATATTTCCATTCAATAACTACTTGAATAACAGAATCAACTACTAAATCCAATCAAACACTTAAAATTCAAATCCAAAATCAATCCAACATTTCCATTTCGGA